CGCTAAATAAGAAGACGTAAACTAAATTGAAATAAAGACTTTTCAACGCCCTTTGTGTTTATGTATATCTGAGTTTTAGCGCTAAATAAGATATAGGAAGCCGTTTCTCGCGTTGCTAAGTGATCGATTCTCTTATTCCTATTTTTCTTTTAATAGACGGTCCGAAAACCGGGCTCAAGTTACTTACCGGGCAAGTCTAGGCAAGCCTATTGTTCCTATTGAAGTAGAGTGACGCTAATTAGTAAACCTATACCGAATTAGTATGCAGGAAGACACTGACTAGGCACTTAAATTAATATGGAGGAACCCATTTTTTCCCTAGGTTATCACAATAGATGACGTCATTGACTCGACCGTTATGCATATTAATAAAGGGAACCCACCAACGAGGCTTATCTTTTAACATAGTATACTACTCACCAAAGCAACGTTTATGTCGCAATATTAAACTCAGGGACAGTTGAGTGGTATCTTTGTCAGTAACTTTAATTTTAAAACTAACACGCACACACAAAAACAAAATTGCCGCCGATAACGAGGTCCTCTGTAGAAGGAGTAGATGACTTGTCTAGGTGCCCCATGGTGCCCTAGTCAAACTAACTAAACATGTTTAATTAAACCATGTTTTAAAAATGAAAACGGACTCGAAAAACAGGAACACACAGTTTTTTTTTTACACAGGATGCGTTTACAAAATTCAACGCGTTTTTGTAATTTGCAATAAAGGTGTCATCAACATAAGGTGCTCTTATGAAGGAAAAAAATTATGCCGTGTTTGGCTAAACTGCCTTTAAACATAGACCGATCAATATAGAGAACTTTGAAAATAAAATCGATAAAACAAAGCAATTAATGGTCTATAAAGTTTAGCTTTATCTGGTAAGCTGTCTTTCCCTTAACTTTTTTTTTTGAAAAACAAAGGTTGGTTTTCATTTGGGGTCTTAAAAAATGTATTTCTTTTTAATTTGGTGGACCTCACTTTGAACAAGCGTCTTTTACAAATGCATAGGATAGGAGGTAATTAGACGAAGTTGTATCGTTATAGAAAGTTGGCAGTCAATACAAATTTGACTTTATACCATTTGCGTCAGCGACAAACAGAGGCGAAAGTTTAATGTTTACTTTTAACACAATTAGTTCATTCGTCGGCGTGCGTATGTCAAGATATCAAACAAACGGGAAGTTTGGAGCGTGAGAGTTGTTCTAGTCGGAGATGGAAGGCAAAGTTGTATCGTTATATCAAGTTAAGCACTCGTTAATATACAGAATTGACTTTACACCGTCTGCGCCAATAATAGAGGCAAAAGTCGGTGAAAGATAGCTTAGGGAGAAAGTGGAAATTAGCTCAGGGAAAAATAATTTTTAAATATTTACGAACAGGTGTGCCACCATTAATGTCAATGGTAATGCAGGTCATAGTTACCCCTTGCGTTTTTAATTTATAGAAATGAATATTCGTCAATTGGTTCGTTGGCGTTGACGCAAATGCAAAAGTTTAATCGATATAGACATGCCGCGAGTGTGAAAGTCTGTAAAGTCTCTCTCCGATTGTTTTATTCATATTTATTATTCTTATTTTATTCGGAAAGAATCAATTATTGATATTCTATGGCATCATTCCACCCCCGCTTACGGGCGTATGAGATATAATATGGCCAACGAGGTACGTAAGGCCTGCATGTATCCGGCCAACGCGAGTTCTCGTGGAATAATTGTCGATTATTGTGTGTTCAGTTCAATGCAACATCAAATGAATTTTTCTATCAATTGATAGCATCATTATTGTCACGGCTTCCTTCTGCAATAATATCTGTACCTTCTTTATCTTAGGTACCAGCTTAGTCAGGAGGATGTTGCTATCCTAGGTCAAAAAAAAAAAAAAAAAAAAAAAAAAAAAAAATGTTGACTGAGAGGCACACTACAGGAGTCCTCTAACAGAACAATCGTAGGCGAAGTAGTTGAAAATGAATAAGACGAGACCGAAGATGTTTATCATTGTATTGAACCATTTTATCGATAAGAAACAAAAATAATCTATAATATTTCAGCACTATGAAGGGGGGGGGAGGCAGGGAGGCAGGGAGGGTCAAAGTTATTTAATATTTAATGAGAGCTTAGTTAGCATTTTTAATATGGGACCATTAATTGACTTTAGATTCAATCGGAGAAACTATAATAATTTGTCTCAGTTTGCTGTCATTTTCTTACAATTAAAATATAATGGCACCTAAATGTTGTCAATGGTAGAATTATATATAGAACAAAATGAAAGAACAGACGATGTTTTTGTAAGTAAGAGAATCAAGAGAACAGACCTGTCGAAGAATCAGTAAGCATGGACAGAACAGCAAATGGAAGCTGCTTCAGTTTGATAAATCCAGAAACACTAAAAATTGGGCAAACGGTTGCTCTGAGCCTGATACTTGTTGTTTCGTTGGTTGGGAATTCTCTCATCGTATTAATTGTTTACAAAACACCATCTTTGAGAAAACCGATAAATATGTTGATCGCAAATATGGCCATGTCTGACCTGCTCTATCCAATATTCTTTGTTCCTGCTCGTCTGGCAGAATGGCACGCTGGCTCGTGGCTTATTGGTGGTACCCTTGGTCAGGCCTTGTGCAAGATACACATTTTTCTTGTTGATGTTTCCTCGTTAGTGTCGATTCAGAGCCTTGTTCTGATAACAGTGGATCGATTTGTAGCTGTTGTAGTTCCACTCCGTTCCCCTCTCGTAAGTAGAAAGCGGTGTCTATTCTTCATTGTCGCTACATGGATCGTCGCAATGGCCGTTCATTCGCCATATCTTGTTGCTTATAAACTTGGTAAATACCCAGAACGACTGATGTGCAAAGGTCTGTGGCAGGAAGCCTTCGGAGGAAACACATATCCAAATTACATCTTAGCAGTTGCTATCGTGTTTTTCTACATTCCCTTTGTCCTCTTGGTGATACTGTACTCCGACATCCTGATCAAGCTTAAAAACCAAGTCCATCCAGGTGAGCAGTCAGCCAACGCTGAGCAACAGAGGACAAGAAGAAACAGAAACGTGCTTAAGATGGCTATTACTATCGTGGTAGTGTTTTTCATTTGCTGGATACCCTTAATCAGTAACGCGATAATAGACAAGAATTTCAGTGCACCAGACAGTCTCATTTTTTCTTCTTGTAGTTTTCATATATACCGTACTGTCACCTTCTTTATGGCTTTCGCAAACTGTGCTATTAACCCGATTATCTGCCTCATTCTAAACAGTAACTACCGCCAAGCTCTTAAGAGACTTGTGAGTTGCTGTGCCGCCGATGCAGTGGAATATTAACGTTTGAAGACTGAAAGCCGGGTCTGAAGAGATTCATTAAAAAAAGAAGACCAATAACAACTAATATGTTATGTAAAATAACAGCGAAATCACGAAAGAAATGCTTGTGAATTATGTTTTCGGCTGCAAAGTAATCTGGAGCACGCCCTAACCCTAACTCTAGGAAGGGTGGAAAATGTTATTGTATGAACGCATTTTCAAAGTATAATTTTGCCGAAAAACGCCGATCGAAGCCAGTAGAGCCGTTTTATTATTCTGTTCACTGAAACAGCTTCTGGATGGTTTGCTGCAGAACCGGCAAGACATCCAAAGAAAACGGTATGATATTAGCAGATCGACATGCAAACTCTGAAACCTAAGTAAAGGAGCGCAGGCAGACTTATTTCTACCACGAACCAAGACGAGGGACTTGAGCATAGGTGAAAGAAGAGGCCAGTTAGCCACGGTCGTCCTACATTGTAAAGACAACTGATGTGTCTGAACTAAAGTGCCTTAGAGTATACTCAGCTGAAGCGTTTAGAAAAAAAATCAAGAGTTACCGCTGGAAGTTAGTTGATAACAACAAAGAAAGTCTTTCAACACAGAGAGGCATACTAAAGTGTTCAGCCTACCCTTAGTTGTCATCACCAGAATCACCCCGAGCACCTGTCCAGTCACGTGCACCGGTGCCATGTTACAAATATGGCGTGAACAAACATTTTTCTTTCTTTTTGCGAATAATAACTAGGGAATGTTGGAAAAATGGACTGCGTGACTGTCACGCTGTGAAAGTAAACTTTGTTCCTTTTGATCTCGTTACTTAGTGATAAATTGTAATGACGTGATGTAGGTTTAGGATTTTGAAACTATAATCATCTTTGTAGCATGGACATTAAATTGTGAAGTGATTCGAGTCTGTAGCTAGGTCGTTTTAACGTGAATATTTTCTGGAAAATCTCTTGTGTTAGAAGCAATCGGAAGATTCCTGACAGGGCAACTTGAAGGGAGAAAATTGTGTATACCCTGACGCCGAGTGAGAAATTAGTAGATTTTTCGCTGTTTGTGCGAGGAACAATTTAAAGACTTTTTCCTCTGTTTCAGCTGTAGCATTTTCTACGGAATGCTTCATTTCCCTCGTTTATATGTTGCCTATAGTCACCGACGAAGTCCGCCATGTTTTAATTTGTTATTGTGTAAAACTTGATGACATTAAGAAGTGACGTCAGTATTCCGTTTTATTCCAAATATTCTGCTCAGCTGATCTGTATTTGGAATATCTGTTCCACTTAGTTTAGAACTGGAGTAACAGGTCAATCGAACGGATATTCCGGATCTTTCAATTGTATTCCTATTGAGCTCAAACCAAGTTAGAATCGCATCGTGTTTCGGTTATTTCTTAGAGCATTAGAGACGTGTGAAAAGAGCTTTGTTGAAAGAGACGTGCCACCATAAATATCAATAGTCGGATAATAATTATCCGCTTTTGTATAAATCGTATGAAAACTAGCTAGAGAGACGTGTATCTCGTTGTTTAACATTCTGACTTCAGCTGTCTTAGCGTTAGGCATTAAGCCATAACGACCTTACATCTTCTTTTGCATGCTGATTCTGAGATGTGAAAGACGAATAAATTTCAAATTAATACAAAACGTCAAAGGTTTAGTGAACAAAATTCTATTTGTTTAGTCACTGGGATGAGCTTCGCTCTAGTATTTATGACCTGTGTGTGTACCTTATATCGCGGCAAATATGACCTCTTTGTCACGGTATTTTGTCACGGTATTTTATTGCAAAAAGCCCAGTGAGGGCGAGTCGACGAGTCTTAGAGCTCCTAGGGAATTAATTTCAAGGGCGAATTCTGCAGTTGTTGACTACATTTATTGAAATGGAAAAATAGCAGAAAACATAATGTAAGCCAAATCAATGCAGTATAAACAGTGTATACCTTCCTTTCTGTGATCTTGGATAATGTAAACCGAAAAGAAATAATATGCAAATATAAGAAAAGGAAAGTGTTCAAGAACGGGGGGAGAGAACCCCTGGGATGCTACTCTAAAAGAACCAGTTCCACGACTTATTCGAACGCTTGTCTGTGATTGGGCAAAAAAATATTTTTTGTGCCCAATCAGAAGCCAAGCATGTATTGTGCTGCCTTCGTAGCCTTCTTACACGAAAGAGTTCACCTGCAAACTCGACTGTTTCCTCTCCGCCCCTGAAAAAAATCAGTCTGGCTCGTGCGGGAGAGTTTCTTCGAGAAGAGGTTTCAGTGAATTCAAAATGAGCCCTTAAAGTCTACTCTACCAGTTTCATTCGACCTTCTTGTATCACTGAAGAGAAACATTTAACAACAAATTTACAAACTTTAAAGGCCGAAAAAATGTCTCCTGCACGCGCCTGCATGAGTATGCCGAGCAGACGTAAACAAACACGCAGACGATTCCGCATGAACAAGCCTAGAAGTACCCTGGTATTTACGAATTGACCTTCGAGCAGTCCACAGGCGGATTTCTTCAATTGTTGCATTTTTCGTTTTATTTTGGTTTGGTAACATGCTAAATTATGGGGTAAGATTTCCGTATAACCCCATACACTTATTATGCGTGCATGTTTCCACTCTATTCATTTTCATAATTATCAAGTAGTATGAAATTGCTACGTGCATGATAATTGTATGAGTTTACACTGAAATTTTACCAATTATGGCTTTTCAGTGGGGCCTATTTTTACTGAAAAAAATTCTCCAAGAAAGCTCTCCTGCGGGAGCCAAACATGCACGGCCAACAGTCGAGTTTGCAGGTGAACATTACAAGCCTCAGCGTTCCGGAAGTTAAAAAATGCGGCGCGCCTGGTTGTTTTGAAGTGACGTAATCATCCAGTTGAGTATCTGTCATCTTAACACTTTTGCGGTCAACTACCGCAGAGCTCGTAAAGTATTTTAGGGACGGACCACTAGAAAAGTTATAAAGTTATGGGGGGTGTACTTCGTCCGTCCCCCCCATAAGTTTCCTAATGGTGCGGCCCTTAATTAAAATCGTGTTCAAACCACTGTGGAGGAAGTCTGTTTATAATTGTGTCGATAAATGCACTTCTGACTTTCATGAGGTTCAATTTTGAATTAATTATCAAAATTTTTGTTAAGCGAGAAGTCTACCTACGGTTCCCGGGAAAAGGAACTTTTATAGTGGCGCAACACAAATTTTTCGAAAGTCGAGGATGTGCTGACAAACCATTCACTATATCTATGCGACTAAAGGAGGGTATAAGGTATATAACACGTTTAGCATTTCGACCCATAGCCGAAAAAAATAAATTAGACAATTGCCCTATGTCCTTTCTGGTTTATCTAGGTAGAAGTCCTGGCATATAATTATGCCCGAGCGCTTCTAGGATATAAAACACGTTTAGCATCAGGGACACCCAACGGCAATTTTCGGGAAAATATCTGTTCGGAAGACGATTTGAGAACTAGAATTTTCGGAACATTTGTTGTAAAATTTCTTGCTTGCCTGCCTCTCCTAGGATTTTCGAACATCTACAAAATGGTATAATTACCCATTTTAAACGGATATTTACCCTAAAAAAGGCCACCTAGAATTTTCGGGAGCCTTTTCCTGGCTGAAATTTTCGAAAAGGTAAGTTTTGATTCCTATAATTTTCGGACAAGTAGATTTTCAGCTAGGAGATCCGAACAGATGAAAAGTTTTTAGGGGATAAAAATATGCCTATATCTACGGTTTAAATACCAAAATACGTTCAAAAATGCTATGTTAAGTGGTTTTGAACTATACCCTCGTTGGGTGCCCCTGTAGCATTTCGACGCGAAAAAAAAAACAATTGAAAGCTGTTCCATATCCTTTCTGGTTCATCCAGGTAGAACTAGTCCTTGCATGTTATTCATGCCTGACCGCTTCCAGGATATATAACACGTTTAGCATTTCGACCTGTAGAACAAAAATTAGGCAGTTTTTCGACATCCTTTCTGGTTCATCCAGGTAGAAGTCCTTGCATGATATTATTATGCCTGATTGCTTCTAGGATATATAACATGTTAAGCATTTCTTACCACACTTTCATCCTCGTCGATAAAACACAAGTTATAGTCAAATTAAGAGGCCGCTTTGAATCGATACGATTTCATTTGCATTTCTCCAAATTGTAGAGGGGCTGAATATTAGTTTGAAGAGTGCTTTGAACTGTAGTACATGCTTAATCAACATAAACGAGAAGTGATCTAAAAGCTGAAGGAGAAGTTTGTATTTCTAAATTTTTTCCTGACATCAAGTTAGGGGCCGAAGATTTAGGGAGAAAAAAGGGGGGATTAAAAAAAGAATGCAGACTCTGTATGTCAGGGAAAAAGAAAAAAATCTATCGTGGGGCAACATATTCTTACACAAAGCAATTTACCTATACCCTCTCTCCCCCCCCCTCCTTACCCCCAAACTCCTCAAAAGTCAGCTAACTGGCCACTTAGTCAGCACAAAACGAAAAACAAATAACAAGGACAAAAATTAAAAAGCGCCAAATTTTCAGGACCGGAGTCGGTTTCTTTGAGGTTCGCACAGTTTCTAGTAGTTATATTTGAATGGATTACGCGAAAAGGGATTTTCTTGTCCTTTCAGGTATTGTATCATTTTTAGTGTGTTTACACTGCTTCAAAAATTGCTTATTTCAATATAGATATTTCTTATTTCTTGCTTACAAATATTTTCTATCGAACCGGCCAAGTTTATATTTAGCCAAATTCGAAAATAGTATAGAGAATGTTGCTGACTAACACTTGCCCATACAATGCACTCTCGCTTTATTAACTTGCTTTGTTACATCAGTATAAAAACGTTCACCGGATTAATCGAAATTCGATATTTACTTTAGAACATAGAATGTTATGAAAACGGTTGCAGTTTTATGGAGTTTGTGTCATTTTCGTGATAGAGAATCGGAAAGGATATATTTTAGTAGAAATCAGATTCCAGAATATGTGAATACAAGAGGGCGGATCAGAATGATATGATATTGCTCTTATACTGAAGGCGAAAGGGGGTATAATATGTGGTGCGCACTTTCAAAAGTACATTCAGTTATTATTCCGCACTTAAAGGGGTCATAAAAGTGTACTGTTTAATAGTATTAAAGTGTTCACTTCAAGAGTCCTAAAGTGAGCACTTTAAAGGAGTCTTAAAGGGAACACTTTAAGGATTAAGTTATAGCAAACATTATGATGAGAAGATGGAATCATAATGTCATTTTATTTCGAGGCATTTCCCGTTTCTTATCAGCAGTGTGCAGGCGGTGTTTCCCTGGCCAATCAGGAGATCGAACATGTTTAGTGCTGTATAAAAGACTTGTTATGTGTTTCGCGCGACCCTTCCAACTATTACTATCAGCCTGTACTAGTGACATCCCTTTGACGCTTAGTTGAAAATTTTTCCCACCACCTCCCCAGTCTCCGACCTGCCACCGTCTACATCCTCTTATAGTTTTATCGTCTTTAGTTTGTCGCAAGTAATGGCTAATTTGTGGCGGATTTTTGTCCCCACCTTTCCTGAAGAGATGTTAATTAGTTAGTTTTATCATTGGTTTCAATTAAAAACGTCACGCTTGTGGCCATTTATCCCAAACAGCTGAGATTCTTGCTCAATACGTGTATGCAAAGCTGATGGGTATTAAAATCATGTCAGCTTAAAGACGACTTCCATATTTGCGAAGCACTGTTGAAAAGGAGCTTTCTTTGGAAGTATGTTACTGAGCTTTACTTTAAGTATTTAAACGCAGACGTATTATTGGTCGTTAGGTTAAAGCCTTATACACACCTATAGAGAAACGTTCAACATGAACACAACAGCAGGTGTATCAAGTTCCCAAAGCTTCCCCAGTCTGATAAACCCGGTAGCAGAAAAACTTGAGAAAACAGTTGCTTACACTCCGATCGCTGTTCTTGCTTTGGCGGGAAATTCTCTCATAGGAATAATTGTCTGCAAAACTCCAACTTTAAGAAAACCAATTAACCCATTGATCGTGAACATGGCCATGTCAGACTTGTTTTATCCAATATTCCTGCTTCCTGTTCGACTGGCGGAATTGCACGTTGGTTGGTGCCTTATTGGTGGTGCCCTTGGTCAGGCCTTGGGCAAGCTACACGTTTTCCTTGTAGATGTCTCATCGTTAGTATCGATTCAGAGCCTGATTCTGATAACAGTGGATGGATTCTGAGCTGTTGTAGTTCCACTCCCTTCCTCCCTCATCAGTCTCAAGCGTTGTAAGTTATCCATTTCTGTCACGTGGATTGGCTATGGCGATGGAAGGGCCATATCTGTTTGCTTCAAGTCTTGTTGAAAACCCAGAAGGAATGATGTGCCAGCTTCAGTGGAAGGAGCCCTTCGGAGCGGAAAGATCATATGCTATTTTCCTCATATCAGAGGCTATGGTGTTTGTTTACATCCCTGCCGTTCTTTTGTTTGCACTTTACTCCATCATCCTGATCAAGCTTAAAAAGCAAGCCAATCCAGGTGAACAGACAGCCAACGCTGAGGAACAACGGATAAGAAGAAACCGAAAAGTGCTTAAGATGGCCATAGCTATCGTTGTGGCGTTTTTTATTTTTTGGATACCACTTTTCACTAACCAGTTAATATTTTATTTCGTATCGGACAGTCTCGTTTGGTCTTCCTGCAGTTTTATTCTATACAAAACTGTCACCTCCTTTATGGCTTACGCAAACTGTGCTATCAACCCGATTATCTGCCTCATTTTTAGCAGTAACTATCGCAATGGTCTTGAGAGATTTGTTACTTGTCGGCGTACAAGGTTGACGTTTGAAAAATGATTGTTCTAAAGCTATTCGTCAACGAAGACCTAATATTCAGAACCTTACCTTTGCAAAATAAACCGATTTCATCTTTGTGGAACATAAGAAAACTAGACCAAAAGGTTCTTTACTGCATAAGTTAGTCGTTCCGTTAAAGAATCTTCTGAATTTATTGCTCCTTACCCTCTGAACGGTGCAGCTGTACATTAAAACGATATGCCTGTGTTAAGCTCACAACAATTAGCATATGGTGAAGTTATATTCGACGAACATTTTAGCAATATTGGCCCCTTAGAGCCGCCGCCTGTTGCCTTGTGACACATGAGAAATATCATAAACAGAAGTAAAGAACAATAGAGGTCCAAAATGGAACCTTGTAGGACACCACAAATAACACATTTGGTAGACGAACAATGCCCATTGTATAATTGGGTCATCGCGAATATACCGAAATTCTTGTCGAATATAACTTCACCCTATGCAAAGTTAATGTGTTATGGCATCTTTCTTTCCTTGGAAGTAAGATGATCTGTAATGTATATATTGTATGTATTGAAACACATGACTTTTTTTGGCCATGCATGTTGCAATTCGTAATACACAGAATACACAGAAGAAATGAAAAAGAAAGAAGAAGAAATGAAGACGTGAATGCGTAAGCCAAAGAAGGCCTTAGATATTTACCGCCTTGCAATTTCCACCATTTTTATTTTCATCCCTACTGTCCAGCTGGTTGCACTTTACTCCATCATCATGATCAAGCTTAAAAAGCAAGTCCATCCAGGTGAACAGTCAGCCAATGCCGAGGAACAGAGCACAAGAAGAAACAGAAACGTGCTTAAGATGGCTATCGCTATTGTGTTGTTGTTGTTTTTTTTTTTGCGGGACCACCTACGTCATTAACGAGTTGATATCTCTTTGTTTGCTCACGGGTATTACATGTTCCTGTAGTTCAGATATATACACTTATCTCAGCTCCATTTTTATCTCCGCATGTTGTGTGATCAACCCAATCACTTGCTCCTTTTTTAGCAGCAATCATCGCAGAGCTCTTAAGGGATTTCTGAATTAGTCTAGAACTGGGCAAGTTTAACTGTAGACAAGAGACGTATCACTGCGAGTGCTCCGGTTTTTTATTGCAATAAAAGCCTAAAAGCGAAGCGGCCGTCTGTATACAAAGGTCCCGTCCACACAAATCCGGATACTTTCGAAACCGCGTACTTTTTTTTTCTACGAATCAGCCTTCCGTCCACATGAAACCAGTGAACCGCATATTTTGAAACCCCTCTACGGAGTGGATTTTTTTGGATCCGACGGGTTTGGTTATTTCGTGTGGACGACTGAAAATGGGTATTTTTGATGTCAACTACGTCATGAACGCGAGTGTAGTCTCAAATGAAAACTCTTGAATTCAAAATGGTGGACATTGCAATGACTCTACAATGTTCTGTTTGCAACTTTGCTTGCTCTCATCGCCATTCTTATCGCATGTGTTGTACTAATTTGACGACAACAATTAGCCATTTAAAAAGATCGAAGACTTAATCTCATTCTGATTATGAAATCATTAAGTTGGAAACGAATGTCGGAACCTTGTCAAAGTCGATTTTAGGTTCGTCTGACGCGAGCAAGTGCCTGGTGAGACAACGTAGAGGCAGGACTGGCCATTGTGCTCGATAAAGCTACAACAACATTCAGAAATGTCGCGAAATCACATCGCAGGCTCTGTTTGTACATGCTTACTAACTAGTAATTAGAAAATGAATGTAAATCGCCAGTAGCGTATTTGTGTGGATAGGTGAATCCAAACGGCGGATACGCCACACTGACGTCGTGTAGACGCAGTTATCAAAAATGTGAGTCCAGCATACATGGATTCGTGTGGACGTGGCCTCATAGTAGCGGTAATAAACTTTAAGCTATTGCAATACTCGATCGACTTTAGGAGCCCTCCATAGAAGGGAGGAGTAAGGTGATATTATAGAAATATCCTTTCACAGGATTATTTTAAATGACATTCCCATTGAGCTAACAGACTTAGGTCAAACTAATGCGTTTTCTCTGACATCGAAAATGCATCGATCGATTTACGTCCACGCTACCGTTTTGATGAGTTTTCGACTATCCACACTTAACGTTTAAAAACGTTAGAATTGCAGGTTGTGACGTAAGATGGATAGATAGATTGGTAGATAGATAGTTTATTCTGATTAAAATCGCAGCCAAAAGCTGAATTAGATTAATCGTTACAATAATAAAATCTAATAAAAATATGAGAAAAATATAAGAAAAATGTACACATATGTAGCTAAAAATTTAATTACAGTTGCTATGTATAAATGTGTTCTTAAGTCTCTTCGTCTTAGCCAGAGGGACTCTATGCGCATGCTACAAGAGCGTGCGATATTTTGCAACCTACTTAGTACATACGACGTCATCGTTTTCATTTTGATGCATTTTTTACCGTTTTGATAGTCTCTATGATACGATATGTTAGGCATTCCTTTGATCCATTCGAGAAAGTTGTTAAGTCGATAATATAACTTCTCGATGAAAAGGCCCAGCGTAAGTTAGTGGACGGAAGGCCTAAACACATCGAAATATGTGTGAACGGGGCCCTCTATTTACAGCCAAAAAAAGAGGACAGAAAGAAAGAAAAGAAAAAAAAAATAGAACATGTAAATCGAGTTCGACCACAGTAGTTGGCCTGGAAATGAACTATTTCCAAACCACATTTATTGTTTTAGGTTTGAAATTGTGAAATACAGAAATGAATTTATAATGAGTACATAGCGAAGCAAATGAGGAATCCTGACTATCACCCTCATTATAATAATTTAAAGAAACGTAACTCCTAGTGTGACTATAAAAAACGTTTTTAAATTTGCATTGAGCAATTGTTGGAAGGTTGTTTCCTTTGGATATGAAGACGTGGCTTCCTTTATCTTGAGTTGAAAACTTGTGGAACAAATGAAAAGTAAATTGTAACCGTTTCAAACGACAGGGATTCAAAAACTCTTTGTAAAGGACAAAATTCATATTTCTACGCGCGTAGCAGTTCATTGATGTGTATTCTATCTCAGTACTGAATCAACAATAGTTAGTATCAAACACATACGATATATATATCTTCCGATCGGTAATGCTAGTCATTTTACTTCATCTTCGACAATAACTAAGCAATTTTGTATATGTCAAAAGCATAGTAAGTTATACTGCTTGCTGCTCACGTAAAAATAAAACTTCAAGACAATACTCCTGGTTAATGGCTTTTACCAATTGTAAAGTCCACGCGACTGTCACAGGACTAATCTTCCCGAATTTAAAGATAAATGGGAAGTTAATGAAGATTCCATAAATGTCCGATCAATGCATGGGCTTTTAAGGTTCTAGAACACTCTTAAGGAAGAAAGAGTTAGTTAGTTAGAGAGAAGACAAACGGAGTTAGCAAGAAGGAGTTAGCAACTGGAAAGAAAGATTTGGAGATTGTTGAAGGAAAAGTTAGAGATAGAGAGAGAGAGAGTTAACTAAAGCAGCAGCGAAGGCTTAACCTTAAAGATAAGTGAAATGGAAGAGAAGTAAGAATGGACAACCGCCCTGCGAGTAAGTAAAATAAACCTTGAAAATAAAACTGGTTGATTGTGAAGTTCGTCTCGTCTCGCTGTCCCCATCAATAAACGACACACAAAGATCGTGTATCACGACTAACGAAAACGCGAAAGACTTCTTCGTAAATGCTAAAAGCCGTGCCAGACCAGAAAGAATCTCTACTCGCAGGATATTTTAAAACCAAAATTTCCCACGAAAAAATAAGCGCATTGTAGCCCTTATTTTATTGTCTTACAAATTTTCAATAAGGTCGTATAAAACAACGGTGTGCGAGAATATCATCTTTTAAAAAATCCATTAAGCAGTTTCAAAATTATTTGCTCAATTTTTGGTTAATGTATGAGACAAAATATAAACTTAAATGCGAACAACAGCATCTCACTAATGCTAATGAAATCCCTCTTTTTGAGATCGTTTAAAACTATCCCTTTGATTCTTTCAGGTCTCATTAGTTTTCATTGTGACCCAGCTGGAACTCAATTCATTTTTCTGGCGGAGCGAGTTTATAATTTTGTCGCGCTCGCAGCGCGCGGATCACGCGAGGATCGCAAGACAACTGCGATTTCGCTTTGGTCATAAATCTTTCTATCGGTTTGGTATCCGCAGTTGCCTAGCAACAAGCAATAAACAAATTCTAAAGACGCAATTAAACATGACGTGATCGTGCATTTTGGGTTTCCAGGCAACACGGCCGGCAACTTGGGCTCACTTTATTCATCCTCTGTTTATTGTACGTCAGAGAATCGCAAAGTATTTCTGCGGCAAAAAACAGCGGGCTGCCAACAAAACAGTGCCCGATTGGACAAGTGGCCGGAAATCTTTGCCGTGGGAGTCTTAACCCCAAAAGAACGGTGACCTGAACTTCAGCTAGCCTGCGAAAGCATCCGCTTCTTCTCGCTCTTCGCCGCTGGGGACGTTTCGCGAAACGTTGCCAGCGGCGAAGAGCCAGGAGAAACGGATGCTTTCGCAGGCTAAACTTATTAATAAGCGAGAGCAAGGATAAAGGAGACCAGTCCGTTAATCGAGCGACCTATATAAAGCCCGAGAGTGTATAAACATGGAGATTATGCGAAATGGTTTTGAAATACTCGTTTTGAGCCACTCTTACTCAAATGTATCTTTGAATTCATGATAAATACAGCTCTACAAGGTTCGAACAGTGTGAATGGCAGAGGAAAATACTTCAACACTTTTAATTTTGGTGTAGTGGTCGCACGGCCCAGTGGTCAGAGGCCGCACTTTTCGGCTGGAGGAACTGTTGGGGTGCAGGTTCAAATCCCGGGGTGGCTACTTCCGTTCTTTTTTTCATCGTATTTTTACCTTTTGGCTTTCTCACTACTGACCATGTTAGCTTCGCGAGATTTTTGCGAAAACATATTTTTAGTTTAATTATATTGACAATATATATTGCATAAAAGTAGGCGTCATTACAGACTAAAGCAACGTTTTTATGTGACAATATTAAACTCAGCGACGATTGAGTGGCATTATTTTCAGTAACTTTTAAACAAAGCAGTAACGAAGTCGACTGTAGAAGGAGCAGATAACTTGTCCAGGTGCCCCATTCAAACGTATGACTTAACATGTTTAATTAAACCATGTTTTTAAACATGTAAAACGGACACGAAAAACAGGAACACAGGTTTTTAATTACACAGGATGCAGTAATAAAATTCAACCCGTTTTGTAATTTGCAATAAAGTTGCCATCAACCTAAAGTGCTTTTATGTAGGCAAGGAAAAATTATACCGTCTTTGACTAAACAACTTTTAATTTATATGTTTAAGCTTTGGTGTGAATGGGGCATAGGCCGATCAACTGGTTGAAAACTTTCAAAAATAAAATCGATAAAACAGTTCAATTCAGCTTTATCTGCTAAGCAGTCTTTCCCTTAACTTTTTTTATGAGAAAAAAAAAAGACGAGAAAGAAACCTTACTTTAAACAAGGGTCTTTTACAAATGCATAGAATAGCTGTATCGTTATAGAAAGTTAGCAGTTTATATATAGGCAAAAGTTAAATGTTTATTTAACAATTAGTTCATGCGTCAGCGTGAGTATATCAAGATATCAGGCAAACGGGAAATTTGGGGCGTGAGAGTTGCTCTGTTCGAAGACGGAATGGCAAAGTTGTATCGTTATACCAAGTTAAGCACTAGTTAAAACAGAATTGACTTTACACCGTCTGCGGCAATAACAGAGGCAAAAGCCAGTGAAAGTTAGCTAAGGGAGAAAGTGAAAGTTAGCTCAGGGAAAATAATTTTTCAGATGTTTTTAGTAAATTAGCTATGAACACGTGTACCACCATATCCGATGTTAATGATCATGCAGATAATAACTATTCGTGACTCTTTTCTAGAAATGAGTATGGCCCGATGGTGTTTACGCAAATGCAAAAGTTTTCAAGATATAGACAATGTGGCACTAGTGTGAAAGTCTAAATGCCTCTTTCGGTTTATTCACATTTTATTGGGAAAGAACAGATCATTGATATTTTATGGGTGTTTTTAATAAAACAATCATTCCAATCCCCCTTTCTGGATATGGAATTATTTTTATGGCCAACGAAGCACGTTGCTTGATCCTCTTCACCTCTTTATCTTTGTTGAAGTAGGCCAAAATATTTACTAACAATGAATACTAATCAAAGACCTCTTTCTTGCTGCAGGCTAAAACCATCTCTTTGATTCTTTCAGGTCCCAGTGGTTCTCATTTGATCCATCTGGAACTTTTTTTTTTTTAATTCGCATATAAATTGATAATATTCCTCAAAGGCTCCATTGAAAGTCGGCGCCATTAGACAGTAAAGCAACGATTTTGTCACAATATTAAACTCAGCGACAGTTGAGTGGTATCTTTTATTTTCAGGTACACTGACAGGACTCTAATATATTTCAACGAGCATTGTAATTTCCATTAAATTTCTCATCAACAACCTAAGAATTGTATCAAGGAATAAAGTTTTAAACCCTGTCCAATTAATTCGCTTCTAAACATGTTTAAGCTTTGTTGTGAATAAGGCATGAAAAACCTCGAACATGAAATCGATGAAACAAAGCAACTAAATGGTCATGTATACTGTGTTATTTTATGCTGTACACAAAATTGAAAGGCAAATTATCAGCCTTCGAAGTTTAGCTTTATCCGCTAAGTTAGCTGTCTTCCCTTTAACTTGTTTTGAAAATTAGAATGTTGGCCGTTTGAGTTGTTCTGGCTCTTACAGACCTGAACCTTACTTTAAACAAGACAATTAGTGTCTTTTACAAATGCATAGGATAGGAGGTAATTAATTAGCACGTTTCCAAACCGGAAGATGAAGTTTTATTGTTATAGAAAGTTAGCAGGTAATAGAAATATAACTTTATACCATCTCGTCATTTACAAAACTAATTAGAGGAAAGACGTATAATAAATATTTATTTAACAATTAGTTCATGCGTCACCGTGTGTATGTTAGGATATAAAGCATTGGAAAGTTTTGGGCCTAAGAGCTGCTCGCTTCGCTCACGGAAAAACGAAGTATTAAGTATCGTTTATTATAGCTAGTTAAGCAGAAATTAATAACAGAACACGATCTGTGCTTTTATTAAATAGAGCATAGAGAGAAGGGAAACGTTAGCTTATGGACAAAAAATAATTTTTCAGATGTTTTTAGTACACTAACTACGAACAGATGTGCACCACCATAAATGTTGGTAGTGAGATCATACTTATTCGTGACGCTTTTCTAGAATGACTATTCATCAACTGGTCCGTTGGCCTGGGACCAGGCTCCGTTCGCAGATTTTTCTCCTTCGCCCTTTCCCCACTGCGGAGCCTGGTCGCAGGCTATTGGTCCGTTGGCGTTGAAGCAAATGAAAAATTTTAATTGATATAGACATGTGGCACTAGTGTAAAAGTCTCTAATATCTCTTTCGGTTTATTTTTAAAAAAATTTTTCGGAAAGGATCGATCAATGATATTTTATGGCCGTTTTTAATAAAACAATTATTCTACCCGCACTTGCTGAATATGAGAGGTTTGTGGCCAACGCGGCACATAGGCCATATTCAACGCGAGCACTTTTGGAATAATTGTTGATTATCATATTATGCGTAACGTACGGTTAAATACAACATCCAATGGATTTCTACTGAAAGCATCATGATTGTCACTCCCTTTTTCAATATTTGTACCTTCTTTATTTCAGGTACCATCTGAGTGAGTTTAAAGGTGATATGTCAAGAGAATATTGCTGTTAGGTCTGTGCTTATTAATAAGTGATATAGAAAATAACCTGACATAGCCCCCTCTAACACCAAAGAGGAGCAGGTGGGCCCTCTGATAGTATACAGTGGAACCTAACGAACTTCTGTATAACGAAATCCTCGGTATAACGAACGACTTTCTTTACACCAGCAATTATAGTAAAAAATACCAAAAAGAACCTCGATATACCGAAACCTCGGTGTAGCCAACAAATTTTGCCAGTCTCTTGGCCCGTCTATATTTTATCGACGACCCAGCCGGTGAATAACGTATATGTATGATGACCTTATTATTCGCATACTGATTCTAAGTTTTACAAGACCTGAGTGAATGCCAAATTTATCATCAACACGTTAAATATTTAGCAAACAAAATTCCATTTGTAGTTGATTTAACTTTGCTCTAGTAATAATGACTTGTGTGTGTATGTTTTATCCCGGCAAATTTGACCTCTTTGATCACGGTATTTTATTTGTCTTCTCTGTTATTGGTAATATGCCATTGTTTGCTCAATAATTTTGCTAAAGTTGTTGTTCCACCAACCTCTGAGATCCGACTGAATCGACAATTTGTTAAACTAAACAGGAATTTAGTTATCTAACTGAAAAAGAGCAAAGCTGTACTTTTGAGAACCGCTGAAATGGCTAATGGTGTCCCGTTACACAAATTTTATGTGAATATTATTGCGATAGGGTCGACGAGTTTTAAGAGTTCCAGAGGGAGTTGATTGCAAGGGTGAATTCTGCGTTAGTAGACTATATTGATTGAAATGAACTGGTAGCAGAAAGCATAATGTAAGAGGCACAAGAATGCGCTAAAACAGTGTAGACCTTCTTGGTGATCTCAAATAATGTAAACCGACATAAATTAGTAATAAATAAATGCGTCATTTCATGAGAACTTGTTTAGCATTTTTGATATGGGACCATTAATTGACTTTAGATTGACAATTCAATCGGAGAAACTATAATAATTTGTCTCAGTTTGCTGTCATCTTCTTACAATTAAAATATAGTGGCGCCTAAATGTTGTCAGTGGTAAAATTACATATAAAACAAAGAACAGAAGATGTTTTTCTAAGCAAGAGACTCAAGAGAACAGACCTGCCGAAGAATCAGTAAGCATGAACACAACAGCAAATGGAAGCTGCTTCAGTTTGATAAATCCAGAAGCACTAAAAATTGGGCTAACTGTTGCTCTCAGCCTGATACTTGTTGTTTCTTTGGTTGGAAATTCTCTCATCGTATTAATTGTTTACAAAACACCAACTTTGAGAAAACCGATAAATATGTTGATCGCAAATATGGCCATTTCCGACCTGCTCTATCCAATATTCTTTGTTCCTGCTCGTCTGGCAGAAGAGCACGCCGGCTCGTGGCTTATTGGTGGTACCCTCGGTCAGGCCTTGTGCAAGCTACACTCTTTTCTTTCAGACCTTTCCTCGTTAGTATCGATTCAGAGCCTTGTTCTGATAACAGTGGATCGATTTGTAGCTGTTGTAGTTCCACTCCGTTCCCCTCTCATAAGTAGAAAGCTGTGTCTATTCTTCATTGTCGCTTCGTGGATCGTCGCAATGGCCGTTCATTCGCCATATCTTGTTGCTTTAAAACTTGTTAAATACCCAGAAGGACTGAGGTGCGAACTTCTGTGGCAGGAAGCCTTCCAAGGAAACACATATCCAAATTACTTCCTAGCATGTGCTATCGTGTTTTTCTACATTCCGTTTGTCCTCTTGGTGATACTTTACTCCATCATCCTGATCAAGCTTAAAACGCAAGTCCATCCAGGTGAACAGTCAGCCAACGCTGAGGAACAGAGGGCAAGAAGAAACAGAAACGCGCTTAAGATGGCCACTGCTATCGTGGTAGTGTTTTTCATTTGCTGGATACCCTTTCTTAGTAACGCGATAATAGACAGTTTCAGTGCACCAGACAGTCTTATTATTTCTTCTTGTAGTTTTTATCGATACTTTAATGTCACCTTCTTTATGGCTTACGCAAACTGTGCTATTAACCCGATTATCTGCCTCATTCTTAACAGTAACTACCGCCAAGCTCTTAAGAGACTTGTGAGTTGCTGTGCCGCCGATGCAGTGGAACATTAATAGGGACTTTAAGATCCGAGACGCGACGGCTGTAAGACGCGACAGGAAGTAGATTTTCAAAGAGGAGACATGTTGCGCATGCTCAAGCCGTTGTCCTGGTGTCACCACGTCGCGTCGAGAACGTGGGTTTTGCGAGTTTGACGTCCTGCACAAAACGTGAGTATATTTGTTCCTGTGCTTGAATTAAATGATGGTATATTCCTCTAAACATGTAACATCAGCCTCCTAGGATCATTGGACGTAATGTCTGGCGACATTTTAGATCGCAGAGATGGAAGGATTTTGATCATTTTAAAATTTCTTTCAGGTGTACGAAGCTTATAAAGTGGCAGCGCCTTCGACTTCGACTTCGAGCGAGGCTTGCAAGTAAGTCACGAGCTAAAACTGGAAATAGTGAATGCTGGAGTCTTCTGCATACTCTTCTCGTCTCTTGTACCGTTGCAATTCTCGATTTATTGCGTTCATCTGCGGCTAAAAGCCAATTTTAAGCCTGTATTATTTAATTTAATTTTATTAAACTGCGTGTGTTTTTATGCTTCTCTTTAGTTCAGTAATGTTTTGGACTCATGATCATGAAGCCATTCTATGCAGAGAAGTCGTCAATGTAAATCCCTACACAACTAAGAAAGGGTCAACACAAAGAAGTAGAATGTGGGAAAAAATAGCAGACAACTTGAACAAATTCACTGTGCCGAAATTCAGGGTTGATAAGCGATCAGTCCGAGACCACGTGGGAATCCTTGTTTACAAGCATAAGAAGAAACTTCTAGCGGAGGAAAAAGCAACTGGGATAACTCCCGATGAGCCAACGGAACTAGAAAACCTCTTGGATATGATCATCGCGTTGGAGGAAAGTGGCGAAGCGGAATTACAGGAAACACAGGAACAGCTAGCAAAAACGTCAATACGATCGGGCTAAAGTGAAAGATGTTAGACTAAAAGCGATGGAGAAGCTGTCAGAGACGAAGAAAAGAGGTTCATCAGAGGATGAAAGCGATGACAAACCGAAGCGTCAACCAAGAAGTGGAGGTGATGCTATCGAACAAAGCACAAACAAAGCATTTCTTGGACTTTCTTAAATGATGCCATGGCTATTTCTGCGAAAGAATCGCCGAAGAATCAGACTGACAAAGAGCGGTTTGCAGCCGCGTCGTCTTGCATCGCGACCGAGATCTTAACTTTACTTTTCGCGCGCAAACGACGGCGTTCTACAGGTCCAGTCCTTTATCAGCCACCGCGTTCTAGAAGTCGTCGCGTCCCAGATCTTAAAGTCCCTAATGTTTGAAGACTGAAAGCCGGGTCTGAAGAGATTCATTAAAAGAAAAAAAAAAAGAAGAAGACCAATAACAACTAAGATGTTATGTAAAATAACAGCGAAATCACGAAAGAAATGCATGTGAATTATGTTTTCGGCTGCAAAGTAATCTGGAGCACGCCCTAACCCTAACTCTAGGAAGGGTGGAAAATGTTATTGTATGAACGCATTTGCAACGTATAATTTTGCCGAAAAACGCCGATCGAAGCCAGTAGAGCCGTTTTATTATTTATAGACAGTTTCAGTTTACCAGACAGTCTTATTTTTTCTTCTTGTAGTTTTTATCGATACTTTAATGTCACCTTCTTTATGGTTTACGCAAACTGTGCTATTAACCCGATTATCTGCCTCACTCTTAGCAGTAACTATCGCCAAGCTCTTAAGAGACTTGTGAGTTGCTGTGCCGCCCGGATGCAGTGGAATATTAATGTTTGAAAACTGAAAGCCGGGTACGAAGAGATTCATTAAAAAAAAAGAAGACTAATAACTATTAACTGTTATGTAAAATAACAGCGAAATCACGAAAGAAATGCATGCGAATTATGTTTTCGGCTGCAACGTAATCTGGCCGGAAATCCCTGCCGTGGGAGTCTTAACCCCAAAAGAACGGTGACCTGAACTTCAGCTAGCCTGCGAAAGCATCCGCTTCTTCTCGCTCTTCGCCGCTGGGGACGTTTCGCGAAACGTTGCCAGCGGCGAAGAGCAAGGAGAAACGGATGCTTTCGCAGGCTAAACTTATTAATAAGCGAGAGCAAGGATAAAGGAGACCAGTCCGTTAATCGAGCGACCTATATAAAGCCCGAGAATGAATAAACACGGAGATTATGCGAAATGGTTTTGAAATACTCGTTTTGAGCCACTCTTACTCAAATGTATCTTTGAATTCATGATAAATACAGCTCTACAAGGTTCGAACAGTGTGAATGGCAGAGGAAAATACTTCAACACTTTTGATTTCGGTGTAGTGGTCGCATGGCCCAGTGGTCAGAGGCCGCACTTTTTGGCTGGAGGAACTGTTGGGGTGCAGGTTCAAATCCCGGGGTGGCTACTTTCATTCTTTTTTTTCATCGTATTTTTACCTTTTGGCTTTCTCACTACTGACCATGTTAGCTTCGCGAGATTTATGCGAAAACATATTTTTAGTTTAATTATATTGACAATATATATTGCATAAAAGTAGGCGTCACTACAGACTAAAGCAACGTTTTTGATGTCACAGTATTAAACTCAGCGACGGTTGAGTGGTATCATTTTCAGTAACTTTTAACCAAAGCAGTAACGAAGTCGACTGTAGAAGGAGCAGATAACTTGTCCAGGTGCCCCATTCAAAGGTATGACTTAACATGTTTAATTAAACCATGTTTTTAAACATGAAAAACTGACACGAAAAACAGGAACACAGGTTTTTAATTACACAGGATGCAGTAATAAAATTCAACCCGTTTTGTAATTTGCAATAAAGTTGCCATCAACCTAAAGTGCTTTTATGTAGGCAAGAAAAAATTATACCGCCTTTGACTAAACAACTTTTAATTCATATGTTTAAGCTTTGGTGTGAATGGGGCATAGGCCGATCAGCTGGGTGAAAACTTTCGAAAATAAAATCGATAAAACAGTTCAATTCAGCTTTATCTGCTAAGCAGTCTTTCCTTTAACTTTTTTTATGAGAAAAAAAAAAAAAAAAAAGACAAAGAAACCTTACTTTAAACAAGGGTCTTTTACAAATGCATAGAATAGCTGTATCGTTATAGAAAGTTAGCAGTTTATATATAGGCAAAAGTTAAATGTTTATTTAACAATTAGTTCATGCGTCAGCGTGAGTATATCAAGATATCAGGCAAACGGGAAATTTGGGGCGTGAGAGTTGCTCTATTCGAAGACGGAATGGCAAAGTTGTATCGTTATACCAAGTTAAGCACTAGTTAATACAGAATTGACTTTACACCGTCTGCGGCAATAACAGAGGCAAAAGCCAGTGAAAGTTAGCTTAGGGAGAAAGTGAAAGTTAGCTCAGGGAAAATAGTTTTTCAGCTGTTTTTAGTAAATTAGCTATGAACACGTGTACCACCATATCTAAATGGCTCTTTTCTAGAAATGAGTATGGCCCGATGGTGTTTACGCAAATGCAAAAGTTTTCAAGATATAGACAATGTGGCACTAGTGTGAAAGTCTAAATGCTTCTTTCGGTTTATTCACATTTTATTGGGAAAGAATGGATGATTGATATTTTATGGGTGTTTTTAATAAAACAATCATTCCAATCCCGCTTTCTGGATATGGAATTATTTCATGGCCAACGAAGCACGTTGCTTGATCCTCTTCACCTCTTTATCTTTGTTGAAGTAGGCCAAAATATTTACTAACAATGAATACTAATCAAAGACCTCTTTCTTGCTGCAGGCTAAAACCATCTCTTTAATTCTTTCAGGTCCCAGTGGTTCTCATTTGATCCATCTGGAACTTTTTTTTTTAATTCGCATATAAATTGATAATATTCCTCAAAGGCTCCATTGACAGTCGGCGCCATTAGACAATAAAGCAACGTTTTGGTCACAATATTAAACTCAGCGACAGTTGAGTGGTATCTTTTATTTTCAGGTACACTGACAGGACTGTAATATATTTCAACGAGCATTGTAATTTCCATTAAATTTCTCATCAACAACCTAAGTATTGTATCAATGAATAAAGTTTTAAACCCTGTCCAACTAATTCGCTTCTAAACATGTTTAAGCTTTGTTGTGAATAAGGCATGGAAAACCTCGAACATGAAATCGATGAAACAAAGCAACTAAATGGTCATGTATACTATGTTATTTTATGGTGTACACAAAATTGAAAGACAAATTATCAGCCTTCGAAGGTTAGCTTTATCCGCTAAGTTAGCTGTCTTCCCTTTAACTTGAACTTTGAGTTGCTCTGGCTCTTACAGACCTGGACCTTACTTTAAACAAGACAATTAGTGTCTTTTACAAATGCATAGGATAGGAGGTAATTAATTAGCACGCTTCCAAACCGGAAGATGAAGTTTTATTGTTATAGAAAGTTAGCAGGTAATACAAATACAACTTTATACCATCTCGTCATTTACAAAACTAATTAGAGGAAAGACGTATAATAAATATTTATTTAACTATTAGTTCATGCGTCACCGTGTGTATGTTAAGATATAAAGCATTGGAAAGTTTTGGGCCTAAGAGCTGCTCGCTTCGCTCACGGAAAAACGAAGTATTAAGTATCGTTCATTATAGCTAGTTAAGCAGAAATTAATAACAGAACACGATCTGTGCTTTTATTAAATAGAGCATAGAGAGAAGGGGAACGTTAGCTTATGGACAAAAAATAATTTTTCAGATGTTTTTAGTACACTAACTACGAACAGATGTGCACCACCATAAATGTTGGTAGTGAGATCATACTTATTCGTGACGCTTTTCTAGAATGACTATTCATCAATTAGTCCGTTGGCCTGGGACCAGGCTCCGTTCGCAGATTTTTCTCCTTCGCCCTTTCCCCACTGCGGAGCCTGGTAGCAGGCTATTGGTCCGTTGGCGTTGAAGCAAATGAAAAATTTTAATTGATATAGACATGTGGCACTAGTGTAAAAGTCTCTAATATCTCTTTCGGTTTATTTTTAAAAAAAGTTTTCGGAAAGGATCGATCAATGATATTTTATGGCCGTTTT